CACCCAGCCCCGAGGGTTTGGAGCATCCCTCACCCTCTGCCTGCTCACAACAACTTCCAAAAGCAAAACATCAGCAGCCTAGAGGGTGGCTTGGCATGGCTGTGCTGTTTTTCTAAGATTAGGAAAACCAACAAGAGGGGAAACATCAACTTCTCGGCGCCTCCTTTTCCCTCGCTCTGCGATGGAGCTCTGCTCACCTCCACACCCCATGGATGCAAAGAGCAGGAGCTGGCACCATACAGGACGGGCCCAGGGAGGTGGCAACACACCCACCCCACTGCTGGAGGGTTCAGTCCCATCCCATCCCCATCCAAGCCTCCCTCTGGCACCATCCTTCCCGTGTCCCCAGCTCCCGTGGCTTCCCCTGCTGTGCAGAGAGGGTGAGGCTGTCCAGCTGGCCCGTGGAGGATCTGGCCAGGCTGTTTAATCAGGGAGAGTGATTCGGCCGTAATTTCTTCTGATAAAGTATTACAGATGCTGCATTTCGAGCCATCTGGCAGCAGCCCACGTTTCCTGCCTCTGCTTCTCGCGCTCCCCGGAGCAGAGGGGAGAGAGGGATCAGGAGGGCTGGGAGGGATGGGAAGGGGAGCAGGGAAGGAATTCCCAACTCCCATTCTTCCCCAGACCACACCGCCCATCCCACAGCAAAGTGAAGAGCACATCAATGTCCCCAGGAAAAGCAAAGTGGGGCTGGAGCTGCTAAAAGCCAGGGCAGGGACAGAGCCCTCAGCTGCCAAACCCTCCTGGAAGGGTGAATGGAAGAGTGAATCCCCTTTTCCCTGCCTCCCCACACCTCATCCCCAGCACAGGCACTGAGGAAGGTCCCAAACCCTTGACTTCAGTCACAACATCAGGAAAATCATCTGCACCCATGCTCATCAGAGTGAGGCAGTCCCAAAACCAAACAGAGCCGAGTCCGTGCAGCCTCAGAGCAGGGAGTGATTTACCCTGAGCTGAGCAATCAGGGGGAGGCTCGGCTCTGCAAACAAGAGGCAGCTCCTTCGGATTTAGCCAAGCCTGAGCAGAACCACATTAAAAATAACTGAGGGAAGGGCTCGCACTTCATTACTCTCGACAGAACTGGGTCTTGGTCACGTCAAGGATCTTCTGGGGAGCCCTCAGAGCCCTGCCTTGTGCTGCTCAGGTGTGAGGCCAAAGTGGTGGGAGCAGGGGGATGCAGGGGGCTTCTGTTCCCACTTTTCCCTCCCATTCTGCTGTTGAAAAATGTACAAATCCCTTGTGGCCAGCATCTCCCTGCATCCCTGCTCTCAGCAGCACATCTCTGCATCCCAGGGAGATGGGGATGGAGCTCCAGCAGCACACAGAGGCAGCAGAGATGCTCCTGGCTGGAAAAAAACACAGGAGATGCCTTGGCAGAAGGCTCCTGGGATGTGTGGGATCAAACCCTGAAGTTTCTTTGTGAACCACAGAGAGTTAAAGACTGGCCAAGGCCCTGCAGCACGAGCTTTATGCATATGTAGCCAATGTAATACAATTATACATTAATCTATAACTAACAGCCACGGTAATACAACATTACAGTAGGTAGATTATCCCATCTCCTGTCATTTATTATTGTTATTTGTAATCCATTAGTGTCCAGAGCTGGACTGGGGTCAGAGTGCAGTGTCCTGGCACGCTTTCACCCGCCCTGGAAGGAGCAGGAGGATGGAAGACCCTCCTGCTATGGGGCCAAATCCTGCCCCACAGTGACTCCTGGGCAGAGATCTGCCTCTCTGTTGGCACCAGGACAGTTTTCTGGGCTTGGGCTCCCAATGGGATACATCCACAAACACTGGATAAAGCCACCATGGCTTTGCTCACCATTCCCTGTCCCAAAATGCTGGGGCCAAAGAGGATGAGGGGCTCAGCAGCAATCTGGGAGCCCAGGGCTCAGACCACCACCACACCACCACCATGGAGCCATTCCAGTTGCCTTTGAGGAGAGGGAACAAAGCCCAACTGGTTCCACAGAGCCACCAATGGATCTTGATCGACACCACCCTCCAGAGTGAGTCATCCACCCGAAGTCAATTTACATTTTTATTAAATCACACAGGAAAATTAGGAGCGTTATTACTTCTCTCCCATTCAACACGAGTTCTGTGTTCCCCCACCATTCACTGTGTGGGAAAACATCCCAGCATCTCTGGTTTAACTGTTTGTTCCCAGTGCTCCCCACCCCAAAACAGCCCTTTTTGCATAAAACTAAATCAGGCTGGTCTTTATGGGAGGGAAACTGTGACAGCTGGAGATGCTGCTGGAAAGGACTGGGTGCATTCCTGGACACCCAGAGTGTGCCACAGGCAGCACCAGTGACCCAGACTCTGGAGGGACCCTCTGGGTTCAACCAGCTCTGTTTGTGTCACTCGTGTCACCAGCACAGCCCCTGCAGGGAGTTGGATCAGCTCAGGAAGGGAGGGAAGGGCAGATCCATCTGCAGCACAGCAGCAGCTGGGGATCAGTGCACGTTTCTATCCATCCTTACACCCATCCCATCCCATCCCACCTCACCCCATCCCATCCTGCCGTGTCTGCTGCACTCAGGATTATATCACCCTCACTGCTGCAACACAGGCAGCTCAATTCATTTATTTCTGGCTCCCACATGATGCAAGCGGATCTGCAGGAGAGCAGGGAAGGGATAAAACCCAGTGTGTGCACAAGCCAGACCAAAGGGCTTCCCCCACAGCAGCACGAGAATCCTGTGGCTGCTCAGTGGGCTGAAACAAGAGGAGGGGTCTCCTGACACTGCCTGAATTAATATTTGCTTGAAGGGAAAGCCCAAAAGCTCCCACTGGGATCATGACTCTGTCCTGCTGGGGACTGGGATGGAGAGTGCTTGCTCAGAAGAGCACTTAATGTGACTGGGTCAGAAAATTATTTCCCAAGGATGAATGCTCCTATGATGGAATATTTCCCAAGGATGAACGCTGGCTGTTTGCAAAGCCTGATCAATTTGGGCCATATTTCCTGTGCAAGGAGCAAGAGGAAGGAGGGGAATTCACATCTTGCAATTAAATTCCAAAAATCCTGTCTTTTTCTCCCAAACCAGCACAAAAGCACGGTTTGAAATCTCTGCACTTCCTGCCAGCGGGGAAGACTCCAAGTTTCAACCACACTCTTTGCAATTCAATGAGCTGCATCCTAGGCAAGGGCTGAAATCCCAAAATCCGAGCGATGTGCTCAGGGATGCTCGTGGCACAGGGATCTCGTGACACAGAGATGTTCATGGCACAGGGATGCCTCAGCACATGGATGTTGTGACAGGGGATCTCACAGCACAGGAATGTTGTGGCACAGGGATCTCATGGCACAGGGATGCTCTGAGCCAACCCAACCCTTTAGGATCACATTGCTGCTGCAAACCCCAATCCCCAGCCCTTTGGGATCACACTGCTGCAAACCCCAATCCTCATCTCTTTGGGATCACATTGCTGCAAACCCCAATCCTCATCTCTTTGGGATCACACTGCTGCTGTAAAACCCCAATCCTCATCTCTTTGGGATCACACTGCTGCAAACCCCAATCCTCATCTCTTTGGGATCACACTGCTGC